TTTTCCTGCTTTTGTTTTATGTTTAATTGACTCTGCTATTATGGTTCCTAATTATTTTCAACAGGTACTTAAGAGTCCTAAAGGTGGTAAATCTATGTAATTCCTCATCCTCCACAAATTATTATTTTGCCAGTTACTATTTACCTCATCTTTATACCATTAATAAATGCACAGAAAATTGGTTCTCATACTCATCCCTGTGAGAATAGTATCATTAACCTCTTTCTAATATGAACATGGTGTTATCTCACCACTCATCATTTGGTGTGCTTTTCAAAGACGATGTCTTTAAAAAGGCAAAATGAAGTGGAGGATGATCAATTAATCAAAAGCATTCACTTGACACTTATGTGCCTACATAGTGCTGGAAATTAGGAGGGCATAAAAGTAGGTTACACCCCCTTGTTCTCTGAAAATTTAGCATCTAGTTTAGAAACAGCTGGAGCTCAGTATTAAGACACAAAATGATTGCTAGATTGTAATTACAGCTTCAAATAATAAAGGATAATAGTTATAATTGGGCAGAGAAAGTGGACTCACAGATGCATTTTCTTTAAGGATCCTACACTACATAAAAATGAGGTTGTTATTCCAAACAAGGAAAGCAGTATTAACAAAAGCAGAGGCAAAGACAGTCAGGTCTTTAGGAGGATGATAAAAAGACCAAGCACTCTTCTAGTGAGTAACCATCTAGAAGATGAGTGGGATAAACAAGATGAGGTCATTGAACTCATTTCTTGATTCTTTTAATTCAGTAAATTCACCTTGAGTTCCTACAGGGCTTTGTTAAGGCATCAAAAAGCAATACAGAAGTGAATAGGGCAGATTTTCTGCCTAAAAAAGCGGCATAGAACTCCATATGTGGTGTATATGGGACCAAAATGCTAATGGTAGCTTGGTACAATCATACTATAACTAACAGCCTTGAATGACTTTTAAAAGATTTGGACCAGACATGGAATTACTGAAGTGCCACTTAATGTTTTTTTTTTTTTTTTTTAACAAGGGATCTTAGATTTTCCTTTACAAATGTTCTTACGTTTCTTCTTCTTATTGTTTTCTATTTCCTGATTATTATTATGCTTCAATATAATAAAAAGTAATTACAAAGTAGATGCCTTCTCCTACAGTCTGTCTTATAAAGTGTTGCCAAGTGAATTATCCTAAAACATAACACTTATCCACAGAACTCTTCTGCTACAAATATTTTTTGACAAGACAGACTCTGAATATGTTGACCATGCTTTCAATGTCTCACTATACTTCAATTGCAGCTGATTTTGTTTTCCATTATTTCTTCACTTGACTCTGTTTTTTGATCAAAGTATTGTACCTGCTGTCTTCTTAGCACAACTTCCTACTCTATGATTTTTCACATAAAACATTTCCATCTAGGATGTACATCCCCTCCCAAATGCCATTTATATGAATTTCCAGTCTCCTTCGACTCTGCTTAATGGCTCTTCTCCATGCCTTAGCTGGAAATAATGTCTGAATGTTCTAATTCCACATTCTCCATCACATAGCTGGCACTTGCAATTCCTCATATTTATCTTATAAATTTACATAAACTGTCACAGATCCTTGGAGTTTTCAGAGTGTGTAGGACACACTGACTATACCCAGGATTAAATATATGTTGAATAAGGTTATTGGATGAATAAACAATCAATGAAGATGACACTAGAAGAATATTAGTAACGAAGAAATACACAAATGCCAGCTGGTTTGTTTGGTTGCCTGGCAGGCTGACAGGGCAAAATGTCCAGGCATTTGAAAAGGAAGACAAGAACCTGAGAAGTGTGGGAGTTTCCAGCAATGCTGCTAACTTCTAGGCCCAACAGGATGCTATTTAAATATAGAGACAAGTAAAACTTGAAAGAGTATGATGTCTGAGCCAAATTAAAAGGCATCCCAACAGACTGAAGCTAAGGCATACCAACAAGGTGAGGAAACAAAGTATTAAAGTTAAATTCTGTGTGTGTGTGTATATGTGTGTGTGTGTGTGTGTGTGTGTGTGCGCGCCTGTGCATGCAGGTTTGATTTGGCTACATCTTGGTGAAAAGTTGGCATTCGAGCTGAGTAATCTGATTTATAATAATGTACCCTAGATCTCTATGTTCAAGTGAACTACATAATGAACTCAACAATTTCCTCTTCCTCTCTCTATAAAGGTAATTTCTAGTATCATGAAGTAATTAATGTAGATTAGGGTTCTTGAGAACTATAAATAATCAAGTTTTCTGCAAGGAATTCATCCCAAGGCTAAACAGATTCAAATCATGACTCTAGTAATTCATGATGATCATATACAATTCCAGATTTTTAATTGAGTAGAATGAACAGAAACATGCTCTTACTCTTCAACTTTTAAACTACCTATCCTAAGCATGCTTCATAACCAACATATTTAATTGCAGGAAAACTACATCCCCTTGGTGTTTGTGCTTAATATGCGTTCATCTATCTGGATAAATTTGAATTCTTACTCTTCCCAGCTGTATGACTTCAGGCAAATTTTAAGCTCTCTTTGGGTTTCAGTTAACTCACATGTAACGGGGGATAATTAATAACACTTCATACAGATTGGTGAAGGATTATCAGGAAGGGTGCCCTGGCATACTGGCAAAATTGCAAGTGCTCAAAATTATTTTCTTCTTCTTCCTTCCCTAACCACCCATATAAACAAGGAAAGTCAGAGGCAGGTGAAATGATATCAAAGTTCTAGAAAAACCCTGAATGTGTGTTGCAGTTTTTCCTCTTAGAAAATATTGGATATGTACAATCTAATTTTAATGTTTTTAAGGTTGAAATTTTTATGTTTTCTGATTTGTTCAATTTCACATAATTACTGAGAAATCCATAGCTGGAAAACTAAGTCTTCGCTCACATGTTTTCATTCTCCCCTAGCTAGGGATAATCAGATAAGATAAGCGTAACCTTATATAGTTTGTACATATCAACTATAAGAGTCGAATAATTCTGAATGCTAAGCCAATATTTATTCACAGTGGTTACTATTTTTAAAATGTTTTGCAGATTAATTGAAGATTTTTACCCTGAAATTTCTTAGGGTCTTAAGGCTTTGTGGATATAAAATATAATATTGGCCAAAGTTTTCAGGGATGGTAGTGATAATCAAGTAACCACATGATGTAATTTTAAAGCAGTTTTCCCCTACAGATATAGTGAGCCCAATGTCTTGGAAAAAAAGAAGTTCCTCCCAAAGACATTATTTCCCTTATTTCTAAAACATATTTTAAAAAGTGGTATATTGGACAATTATTTATAGTTCAATATACACACACATATAATTCAATAAATACATATATATCTCAATAAATATATAGTAAAAATTAACATGGCTATTTATTGGGTTAAATTATATAAAAATCATAAATAAGAAAATATTAAAATGAGCCTAAATGTCACTGCTCAGGAAAACTTGTCAAAATAAAAACAAAATATAAGGTATTTCTTAGTTATAAATTTTTTTTTTTTTGAGACAGTTTTGCTCTTGTTGCCCAGGCTGGAGCGCAATGGCGCAATCTCGGCTCACCGCAACTTCTACCTCCCAGGTTCAAGCAATTTTCCTGCCTCAGTCCCCCTTGTAGCTGGGATTACAGGCATGTGCCACCATGCTGGGCTAATTTTCTGTATTTTTAATAGAGACGGGGTTTCTCCATGTTGATCAGGCTGGTCTTGAACTCCTGACCTCAAACGATCTGCCCACCTTGGCCTCCCAGAGTGCTGTGATTACAGGAGTGAGCCACCGCAGCCTGCCCTTAGTTATAAGATTTAAGTAGCACAGAAAAGTATAACAAGAAAAAGAAACCTCCACCCATCCTCCTTATCCCAAAGTTTCTTACCTCAGAGGTAACAATTATTCTTACTTATCCCTCTGGAATATATTTGAGAAAGGAGTGGATTTATTTATAGATACAATTATTTTTATATACACAAAAGATATACTGAACAGCCCTTCATTTCTAGTAGCCAACATGACACAGTTTTTCAATTTGATAGATTTCTAAACCCAGAGAAGTATTACTATGTTGAAAAACATGGATGCACCTTCAGTTGAGAGAGATAAGAAGGTAAGATTAGGAAGTCAATTAGTTTGCAGGAAATAACAGTTACCTCTCAATAGGGGACCACTGATTTTACTCTGCCCTAGAATAAAACTAGTTGCTACCTTTGGGAACCCGAGAAAAACTGCTATCATGCCATGTGTTTTAAAAATGGATGCCTATACTTAGCAGAATAAAAATGCCTCTTTACAAGAATCTTTTTTCCTTTATAGTTAATACAATTAGAATATACTGTGGTGAATTATTTTCAACAAAGTTTTGCTGATTTTCCCAGGCTGAGTTAAAACGTATTTCCTTAAGGAAGTCCTCTTCTTCCTCCCTTTTGTGTACACTCCTTCACATGTCCATGATATTTAGCCTCTTGTGGAACTTATACTTTGTCCAGTGTAAGAATTTGGTCTACATGAGCTCAAACATGCAATGAAATTTCACATTTATGGTATATGTGTTAAACAGTTGCAAAGTAAACATGAATCTGTTAGTTGTGATTGTGAAATTCTAGATAATTTCTGATTGTGTAGAGCCTCCATGATATACATTTCAAATGGTTTTCTCAATATTTATTGGTTGAATTAAATTAAGTTGAAAGACTACAAGTAGCAGCTATCAACTAATGATATTTCAAGGGAAGGAGTTTAATAATAATCTGTAGTAACATGATTTTACTGAGACTTCACATTCTGCTAAGCTCCTTTCATGGTCCTGCTCCCTGTTTGGCTTCTTTCTCTCTCTGCCCCTATGTACTCTGTCCTACCCTTTCTCTCTTTATTTGTCTATTTCCTATGTCTTTCCCATTTATCCTGTTTCTCTTTTCTTTTCTCTCAACTAAATTTTTCTCTCTTACAAAATCACACACACACACACACACACACACACACACACAGTTTTATATGTTTAATTTTTCCTTACCGGGATGATGATGTAGGTTCAGTAATTTGTCTTTGCACACGTGCATGTTTAATTAAATGTTCTTTTAAAGCAGTTTGGACTTCTGCTGGTATGTCAGGGGAAGTGTGGCTGATTTTTATTGCAGGCTCAATTGCTTTCACGGCTGGCTTTTCATTTTCCTTAATTTCTTTTTTCTCTTCAGTCTCAAGACCTTCAGTAGGAGCACTTGAAATGCTCTGTGGAAGGGTGCTGACGTTGGAAGTCACAGGCTTGCTTTTCCAGCACGGCCAACACAGCTTCCAGAAGACAAAAAGCGAGACAACCAACAAGGCCAGTCCACAAAAGCCGACAACGACTGCTAACAGGCTGACCGAAATATCTGGAAAAATTACAGTGTAAAAATGATTAATATTATACATAAAAAAGCAGAAATGGAGAGAAAATTTTACATCATAATTGTTATTATTTCCTGATTTAGAGTTTCAAAAACTCAATTTTAAGTTATCTTTGTAGGAAGAAAAGGTTAGTAATCATTCCTGGAAATTCTCAAAGGAGGTACTTGAAAAGTTCCATCCCGGTAAAAATTCTAATTATATACAGGACAAGTATGATGTATGCATATTATTTCCAAGTCCACTATGATGGGTTTAAGATGTTACAAATAGGGGTTGAAAATCTCCAACCCGCCATGAAGTGAGAATATCTAAAACTGCACACAACAGGAAACTTCTGTTTGCTTCATCTTTGATCTAAAGAGCAAGTTTCTCATTCTCAAGCTGAGAATCATATTAAATATTTGTGTAATATATTTAATATGATTAAATATATACTGTAGTATATATTTCTACAGTATAAATGAGAATAACATTTTCTCTACAGTATAAATGACAATAACACATTACTAATAGAGAATGAGACACTGTTAGTTACATTTTCAAACTCCATAGGTTTTTTTCTGATAATTTTATATTATTTTTGTTCCTAATTTATCTTGATTTCATGAGTCCTAAATTAATTAATGAATTGTGCTATGGTCTGAATTTTTGTGTCCCCCCCAAAAATTCATATGCTGACATCCTAATCCCCAAGGCCATGGTATTAAGAGGTGGGAACTTTGGGGAGGGCATTAGGTCCTGAGGGAAGTCTTCATGAAAGGGATTAGTGCCCTTATAAGGTAGGCCAAGGGAGCTCTTTTGCCCTTCCACCATGTGGGGACACAGCAAGAAGGTGTCATCTATGAATTAGGAAATGGGCCCACTGGACTAGCACAGGCATTCTCCACGGGTACTTGACCCTATACATTTTATAATATAGAGAAGCAGAGAATTTTTGTTTACTGAAGATGTCAAGCTTTTTCCTCAAAGAAGGAGGAAATTGATATATCATTTCTTAAGGATGGGGGTGGGTGAAGATTCCATGATAATTCAATCTTGTAGTTCCTTGCATTCAGAGACATAAGGCATGGGGAAACGGAATTCAGCTTAATAGAAAACAGTGCAAGAATTTAGATTAAGTAAAATTTTATCCTGAAAAATAAAACTAAAATTATGCAAACAAGCTTATTGTATTTTATTTATTTTTTGCATTGCTTGCCGCAGCAATTATGACGCATCATTAATAGTATTAAAAATGAAATCAAGTACTTAATGCTTAGGTCTTCATGACATGTTTTTTCCCCCAATAACAAGCTTCGTTTAAAAAAATGAAAAGAATCTATCAAAAGATTGAGTGACGATCTAGGAGAATTTATAAAGTCATCAAAAAGTTTTAAATGACATTTTCATGTTCGTAATTCATTTAACTATGACATGAAGTATGTTACGAGTTTGAATTTAATTCAAAGAAAAATAAGTAGTTCCAGAAACATTTTATATAAGGTGTTGAAATGAAAATATGCACTTCTGAAATATGTATTTCAGAAATAACGTTTTGGCTAAGGAGAAGACAGAAGTGAAGGCAAGATTGTTAGAGTAAATACTAGTTAATAGATTACAACAGCTATCCATGTGAGAGACTGTAGTGGTTCTGAACCAGAGTTGCTGTAATGGGAAAGAAAAGATTCCAGAGAAAATCAAAGCTCTAGCAAAGGAGTGTGAAGATTATAAAGGACAAAAATTTGACTCATTGAGATGATGAAGTAAGAAAGACTATGACTTCAGTTTTGGTTGTACTGAGTTTGAAGTACTTATGGTCATGCAAATAGAAATTTTAGTAGGTTACTGGTTATGCATAAATGCAACTTAGATAAATTGCAACTAATTTCCTTAAATAGTGAGATCTAAATCTATAGAAGATAAATGTTCCTCAGCAGAATCCTGAGTACACCAATATTTCAAGAAAGAGAGTTTTAAGGAATAAGAAACCTGTATAGAAGAATGGGGAAAAGGAGAAAGAAAGATATGGTAAAAAATCAGGTCAGTGGGTTTTCACAGAACCTAGGAGAATATTTTAAGAAATTATACTGTAAATAATTAAAATAAGTTCAATTAAAACAAGAGTTGAGAAGTGACAATTACTTTAACAAGTATGTCTTTAGTGAGTTCTATGAGTCCAGTGAAGCAGATGCAGTGTTAACCAGATTAATGTGGATTAAGAAATGACTAGCAGTGCAGAAGTGGATTCTGTGAGAGTAGATAATTTCTTCAATAAATTATACATAGGAAAGGGGAGAGGAAGCAATAACTACAGTAGCACATGGAGTTGATGAAGGTGTTTTTATTAGGATGTGCAATACTTCAGCATGCTTAAGAATGATGAGAAGGAATCAGTGGCCAAAAAAATAGGCAGTTACACAGAATAATTAATAGTGAAGTTCCACAAAAGGTGACAATGGATGAAGTCTGAAGCAAAGGTGAAAGAACTGGATTGCTTCTTTCTTTGTAAGATAAAGAGAATAGTTCTGGATGCTGGTAAGGTCATAGGTCTTGAGGCAGGAAGTCAAGTGAATTCTTGTTTGTAACTAGTATTTTTCTCTCCAAAGGAGGAGTTAGGGTTAACTGTTAATTATGTTGGAATATTTGAAAATAGTTTGGGAAATTTGGAGAGAGTGATAAAAGTTTGAAATAGGGACTATAGAGAACAGAAGAAAATTGAATAAGAAAACATTAGATGCCTAGTCAGAATATACATTTCTTTTGAAACTGGAGACTAATAAAGTGATACTAGTCTGCCTGGTTTTAAAATCTTCTAAATATTCAGCAGCTTTGGTGTAGGGGAAGAGAGACAAATAAACTCATTCATGGATAACGTTTTGGTTTGTTTGTTTTTCCAGGAGAAGGTGATAGATCCCAAAGGAGACAGTGTATTGCATAGATAAAATGATGCATCATAAGTATGATGCCATACTTATTGACAGAAGATTCAGAGATAAATAGAAAAGTTAATAGACTGGAGTTTCTAAATGAGCAAGATGAACTAATAGGAGATTTTGGTTAGGGAGTGAAATATTTGGATTCACAATGCTAAGTTAGTATTGTTTACCATAATGACAAGGGTTTGAGTATGACCATAAAAGAAAAGAGGTGGACTAGAGAAGATCACTGGAGGAAGGTGGCCAACCATTGGGCGGCCAAAGTGATGAATACGAATGTCCTGGCTTTTCTACATGGACTTTCAAGTTATCCATTTCAATGGAGAAACTTGATGACTAGGCTCTCTAGCTGTAATTTTCACTGTCTCCAGATAATTAAAAAAAAATCCATTACATAACATTCATCCTGTTATATCCGGAAAGATTAAACGTTAATGAAATGCACAGAAATTAGATTAGGCTCTGGGATAATTAGGTTTAAAATAGCTCAAACTCTGGTTTGATTACATACGCAAAAACATTCTTTCTGCCATTGTTTATATGTCTGTCAGTCTGTCTGACTATATATCTCTAACTCATTTTAGTTATAAAGATTTTACTCTTTTATCATGTCTTAATATCCCAAAATAAAGTAACACCGTTCTGAAAAACTGAGAAAAAGATCACTGTCATCAGAAAATACAGGGAACTTCTAAAATGCAAATTCCCTCAGAAACTTTTAGTATAGCAGAACTTTGCTAAAGTCTGCATAAACAGGCCATAACATTTGCATGATCTTGTCCACAGAGGCTTATAAATACTGCTAGGTCCACTTACCTCCTGCCCATGCAGCTCACTATGATCATGCAGAAAAGCACAGGCCAAGTGTCATGTTCTCAATTCCAATTACCACTGCTTGACTTGATACTCTTCTCTGTGTCTATCTGTATCTTTTTAAAAATTTTAAAATTCTAGTTCATTTTTAATTTTTCAAAATGTACAAAAATGTGATTTCCAACAATTAATCATAAATTAATATAATTTAGTTCATGGATATTCCAAGTCTTCTGTTTATTTCACTGCTCCCTGCTGTTGCCTGACCACAGTCTATTTGTTTATGGTACCATTTCATAGAGAAAGAGAGGGAATAAAACTCAAATCAGCAACACTTAGTCAAATAAAACTGAGGCAACTGCCTCAAAGATGAAATTTTTGGACTATCTTTGAGGTTAATTTATTTATACTATTCATCTGATACTACCATTATTATAATTAGGGCATGCTTCTGATTTCTATAATAAGTGACCAAATTAATAGAGACTGAAACAAGATAGTTTATTTCTCTGTCATGCGAAGCGAGACTGTCCCAGCATAAACAGGCCATGGCAGATTTATCAACTCTAAGGTGCCTGGAATTCTGGTTTGTTTTACATTTTTGCTCTGCTATTCAAAGGTCTTTGCTTCTCTATAACGTCCAAGATGGCAAGCTATTATATCCACATTTCAGACAGGTGGACGGAAGAATAAGATGGGAAAAGGGAAGGGGAGGGTATGTCATTTCATTTTAAAAGTACAAATTTGAGGTTGTGCATATCCCTGCTAATAACTTCCCAACGATCAGAACTTAGTCATGTGGCCACACCGAACTTCAAGGAGACTGAAAAATGCTCTTTAAAAATTTTTTATGCTGCCATATTCTTAAGCAAAAATAAGAGATTCTATTGCTGTCAAGTAGAAGTGGGAGATGAATACTGGGAGGCAATGAGCAATCTCTTTTTCATCTATAAATCCAATACATAATATAATCAATCAACAACAATACTTGCGCTCTTATAACTTCCATTTTAAATGTATTGCCTTATGCCTTTCTCTTGAATTTCAATAAATAATAAAAACTGTAATAATACTATATGTAACCTATTATAAAATACATACTTTAAAACATTTTGCATTTTTGAAATTAGATTGTAACCTCAGTATTGATGGCTTGTTACAATAGCTGATAGCCAGGCAGTAGTTGTGTGATAATTTTCATTATTTGTGTATATGCAAAAGCAAAAGCATCAGCATCAAAATTCATAGAATAAGTC